GCGGAGCGGCAACCGCCCCTCTGGCCGCGAGGGCGTCCCGAGTGTGAGAGTCGCAAGCGCAATTTTCTGCTGGTCAAGTCCGAGCGTGCCATTGATGTTGCTGCTTCTGACAGAGCAAGGCAGATCTGCACGCCCCGAATGTGATGCACGACTGGCTTTGCCCTTGTGCATTCGTGCTTTATATTTCTCAAATCTTAATATCCAGGTTATCATCAGAACCCAACATGCACACACACATACACAAACAGCACACATGTGCGCACACCAGCCCGAAATACCTGGTAGAATTCAAGTTGCCCTTAGTTGCAGCAACACGACACATCTGGATTTGCAAGTAGGTTGGCGCAACATGAGATTCCTGGTTTAAAGCACCGGCATTTGCAATAGTTGAGTCACTCTCAAACATGCACTGCTGAGTGGAATCAACAGGGGCGTCATGAATGGACTCGGCCGTACATGCCTTGGTGCTGTGAGTGTATATGTCTGTTGGTGTCATTTTGGGGGTTTAAAGTTTGATTTACAAAGTACAACAGACCTTTTCAGTGTGCAGCAATTAACCCGTAATACAGTAGCATCAAGGCGGGGACAACAGCACAGCGGCGGCTCACGCGTCCACGGGAGCTGTAATGTCCGGCCAGCAATGGTGTCCGCGACCAGCAACCATGTCAAAACTGCAACATTTTGTGTCGTCAGGTGCAGACCTTGCAAATTAATCAGGTCGACGGGACAGGATTAAATGGCGATGAACAGCCCGCGTGGGCCGATGTCTCAGTGTTGGGCAACTGTGAGTCTCACACATGCAGGGTCACGTGGTTCCCCGTTTATACCCTCGCACACTTGAACTGCCTGCAACCTCTGCGTCCCGGTGGAAATTGTTGGGTGGCAGCAGGCTTGTGCAGTGAAGGCGCAATTTCACCTATGTTTGCTCGCTTGGCGGCAGCATCCACCGCCGCTCCAACATGAAATAGTGGATCTGGCACGCAGTCGGCTGTTTACAACTCAGCAGTCATCAGGGTTAAGGATGGTCCAACTGATTGCCCAGCCCAACAGACAGGGGCGCGGGGTGCACGCGAGCGAAGCGGCTACCGCACGGCCCGCTGGCAGGTGTGGCCGGTGACCGGCCCCACCTGACATCAGGACTCAATAACTCCTCGCCATCTGTCAAGTGCCCACGCATATTGTACAGTATATTGAAAAATATGCACTGATTGATTTAGCCACGCGTGCCAGTAGTGCCGGCTCCGCTCTGCACACATACGCGTCAGATCATGCGCATCTCAGCATCTGCTAGCATGTCATGTATGAATCTATATGCAGACTAGTCGAGCTCGTGGGGGGGGGCGATGGAGAGCAGCGGAGCTGCGCGGTGCCCCACGACAGCACCTGCGCGCGACGATCAGCCCGGAGGAGCCTCAAGCAGCATGCCTACGGTTTGCTGCTTGGACTTGGTGACCACCAGGTGCGCATTGCGTCTTGCAGCACTGCTGCGCTGTTATGTTGTTGCGCTGCCGACGCTGTTGGCGCATTTTGAAAGCCGTCTGTCTGCAATGTCCTGTGGTTCCAGGTGCCAGAGGAGCCCCTCGACAGGCCACGCGCCAATGAGCTTGCACAAAACGAGGTATGTGTTTTGGATGGTGCACCGGCAATGCTGCGGGCCCAGTGTGATTGCCTGTACGTAGCTTGGGCGCACGCAGTGCAACCTGGATTGGGACCAGTTCCATGGCTCTCACCAGCACCTTTCTTTTGCAATCAGCAGCACCCATATTTCACGTACAAATGTTTGCAGGCCTACCTGACGCTTTGCCAGAGAGGCCGGCAGCGCGAGGCGGACGCGCTGCTGGGGCTGCTGCGCAGTCTGACGAGCGATGGCGGCGGGAGCGAGGGCTGCGGCCGCCGCGAAAGTGGGGGCGGGCTCTCCGAGCCGGATGCAGCAGTCTCGCTGCTGCTGGAGCTAGCATTTGACTGCCCCGCGCAACCGCAGCCGTTGTTGGGCCTCCCTGGCCTCGAGAGCGAGGCGCTGGAGTCATGCATGCAGCAGGCGCGCGACCATGCCGCAGCGCTCGGAGCGGCCGCAGGCGCGGCCACGTGGCCGCAGAGCTTGCCCGCGGGCGCTGCCGCGTCGCCAGAAGCGGCAGCATCGTTTTTGCCGACAGCGGGCGGCGCGATTGCACTGCTGCAGCGGCGTGCGCTTGCGGTGGGCACCGCGGCCGGCCAGCCAGGCGGGCGTGCTGGCGGCGGCATGCTGATTGGGAGCGGTGGAGGCGCTGCGTCCGGGCCGCCGCCGTGGGGCTGCCCCACCCTGGCCGCGCTCATGCAGCATGCAGGGCCGCCCACCCAGCAGGATTGGGCACTGGCGATCGGCGGCGCCACGGCGCAGTCCGACGCAGATGCCGTCGCCGGCCGGGCGGCCAGGGGGCACGCGCTGCGGCGGCTGGCGGGGCGCACGCCAGCCGGGGCGCTGCCGGCGCTGCCGGGGCAGCTGGCGCCGGGGGCCGGCAGGCCGCTGGTGCCGTCGCCAGTCGCCAAGCTCGCGGCATTCATCGATGATGGGCGGCAGCGGCGGGAACAGCTGCAGCCAGGTGCTGCAGCGGCGAAGGCCGTTGGCTGGCGGCGACCTAATGTGCCCTGCGGTGCGTCCGCAGCCGGAGCCGTGCAGCAGGCGGCGGCGGCAGGTACAGAAGCAGAGGCGGATGCGGAGGGCGACCTGGTGGCTATCGCGTGCCTGGCGCTGCAGGGCGTGTGCAGCGCTGTACGGCAGCTGGGAGCGCTGGCGGCAGGCCAAGGGTGAGCAAATAGGGCGGGTCGTGCCACCAAGTGGTGTGGGCGCTGTGTTGTAGGCCGGACTCGTCAGCCGACAGTGATTCGAGAGCATTGCAATCTAGGCTACTCGGGAGCTCACACCTTTGCCAACGTGCGGCGCAACGCATGCACGCAGACGCGCCGGCTTGTGCCGACCCGCGGCTCGGCGGCAGCTCGCGGCGCAGCTTCTTAAATTGTGTGAGATGCGGCTTCGATTGGAGGCGTTTGCCGCCCACCATGCGGCGGCCGCCGCGGAGGCAGCAACGGTGGGGGAGGGGGACGACGTGCTGTGCGCGTTTGTGGCGGCAGTGCGGCAGATCATGCGGATGCATGCTGCGGCTGTGCAGGCGTTGCATCGGGAGGCCGCGCCGGCAGGCAGCGCCCACGTTGCGAGCGGCGGCGACGCGGGCACCCAAGACGCGGCGGCGGCCAGGGACAGCATGAATCAAAGGAGAGGGCTGGGTCAGCTTAAGACTGTGCCTAGGCTCACATTGTTGGATCTCGTCGTGTCGCTGGAAAATCTGGGGGCTCAGCTGCGGGATCTCTGCCGCCTCTGCCGCTGCACACCCGCCCCGGAGGGCGCGCCGCCGCGCGGCGCCCCGGCCGGCGGCGGCGGCAGCGCGGCGCAGTGGCCGGCGGAGCTTGCAGGGGTTGCGGAGGAGTCTGGGTGGGGCCCCAGCGCGTGGCAGCTGTTGGGCTTCGTCAGTGGCCCGCAGCTGCTGGATGGATTGTATAGGGGTGAGCTCAATGTTTGCGTGTCTTGTGTGTGCTCGCTTCCCTCCCCCTTGACAGGGGTATGGGTTGAGCAGCCTGTGGGCGAAGCGACCTCCATGTGCGGAGGCGGTGAGGGCGAGCGCACGCCTCCCGCATTCAGCCCTCAGCGCTGTGCCTTGCCTAACACATCAACATCTGCCTCGGCCTATTGCGCCCGAAACACATCCCTTTAACCCCGCTCGACGCGTCGCAGAGCTGCTGCACGCGCCGAAGGCAGCGACGCCTCTGCCGCGCTTTCTGTTTAACGCCGCCGTGCAGCCGCTGCTGCGCCGCATCCGCCAGTGGGCGTTCCGCCCCTCCCACGCCGCCGCCGCCGCGTTCGCGGCGGCCGCAGCGGACAGCTTCGGCGAGCCCGGGCCGGGCGTCGAGGCCGCGGCGGGGGCGGCGGCTGCGGCGGCGCTGCCGCTGCGGACGGGCGCCGCGGCGGACGCGTTGGCCGGCGCCTGGGACAAGCTGCAGCGGGGGGCGCCGCCGTGCCCCGGCTTCCTGTCTCGCGCGCGGCGGGACCTGGAGGAAGCCGGCCGGCAGCTGCAGCTGCTGCAGCTGCTGGGCGGCGCGCCGGCGGCGCTCGCGCGGCGGCTGGGCGCGCTGGCGGACGCGGAGGCGCGGGAGCTCCGGCTTATCCTATCGAGCGGCCTGGGGCCGGGCAAGGACGCACCTAGAGCACAGAGGCCCGGCGCCGACACTGGCGGGCATAGCGGTGGCCGCAGCGGGGAAGACGGCGGCAGCGACCAGCTGACCCTGCTGCTGCGCGGCGGTAGCGGCCGCGGCGGCGGCGGCGGCGGCTCTGACACCGGGGCGCCGCAGGGCGCAGAGAGCCTCGATATTGGGATGAGCCTGGAGCTGCTCGGGCAGGTATGCACAAAGGGTTTGGCGGGCCTGGGGATGGGATATACCTTGTAATGTCGAGCGCCGAAACTGCAGCTTAGGCTGTGGATGTCGGAGCAAAGCTCGCCCAGCCCACTGCTTTGGCTCGCTCCCTGCAATGCAGAGCCAACAGCACCGGCACATTGACTGGGCAGCGGGAGAGTCAATGTGACATACTGCTCGCCGACTCCAACCAACCCTGCATGAGACCAGGCCTTCCGCCCGCCCCTCCAGCCGCCGCGCACCCGGCTGCAGCTCCTGTCTCAAACCTCGATTTCGCTGGCTCAACACACCCCGAGCAGATCGGGGAGGCGGTGGAGGAGTATGGGCGGCTGCGGGCGCAGGAAGCGGAGCACTTGCTGGGCCTCATGGGCCGGGAGAGGGGGGCGGCTGCAGCCGCGGAGCATGCAGCCGTGGTGGCCAGGTGGGTCAATGGCATGTGTGCGTGACTGCATGTGTGACTTATGTGTGTGTGAGCACGCACACGTGTGTGTGTGTGTGTGCTCGTGTGTGGGTTTGTGTTCACTGTGCTTGCACGCAAGAGCAATGTGCAAAGAGAAGGATGTTGTGGGGGCCTGCGCACAGGCGGAGCTGCCGCTGACTGGGAGGGGTGTCGTGTGGCGTCAGCCACACGAGTCAACCCCTGGAACTGATAAGCGTCGCTATCTGTGAGGTTCGGACCGCAGCCACCGACTCATGCTGCCCACGTGGGCCAACATCGCGCGCGCACACGCCCCAGGTGGCACGAAAAAGCGGCGCAGCAGGAGGCGGCCCGCGAGGCGCGGCTGCTCGAGGCAGCGGGGCGGCGAGCGCGGCGGGCGGAGCTGCTGCAGCAGCAGAGGCGCGCGGCGGACGAGCGGGCGCAGAGGTGGGCTGGCAGGGGGCTGGTCGGCGAGGCGGGGCGAAGGCTGTTTCTTTGTTCTCGCGGCTGCTGGGGTATCGACTGCACAAGGGCAGGGTGCATCCCTGATTGCCCTGATTTCGGCGCCATGGATGGTTTGTGAGCGTCGAGGCGCGCTGCGGCGCGCGCCTGCCGCCCGCGCCGCCGCCATGCAATCGCCCGGCCGCCTGCACCGCCGCGCCGGACCACAGGCCGCGGGAGGCGCGACGCGCGGCGCTCGCGGAGGAGCGCGCCCTGCTCGCGGCAGACCTGCGGGCGGAGCGGCGGCGCGCGGAGGAGGAGCTGGCGCAGGAGCTGGCGCGCTGCAGCCCTGCGGCAGCGGGACGATCACCGCCGGGCGCGCTTGCGGGGCCGGCGGCGGGCGCGGAGGCGGAGGCGGCGCTGGTTGGGGTGGTGGGCGAGGAGCAGGGTGCGGCGGCAGCTGGGTCCGAGCGGGCGGAGAGCCCGATTAGTGTGGATGATGTCATGCTTCAAGAGGCGCAGGAGGGGCAGGGCGACGGCGCAGGTGGTCTTGCAGCGTCGGACACAGGTGGCGAGGGCGGGGCGCGGCCAACGGCCGATGCCGCGTCGCCGCCGCCGGAGGCCGCAGCGGCGGCTGGCGGCGCGCGGGCGAGACGCGGCGCTGCGGCGCAGTCTGACCCGGGGCAGCGCGCCGCGGGCATTGTGGGCCCGCGGCCGACGTGGGGCGCCGTCAAGCAGCCGTTTGCTGCCGCCGGCGCCGCTGCTCGGGGCCAAGAGACCGTCGCATCAATTCTGGGCGGCGGCGGCAGCGCGGGAACAGCGGTGGCGCCGGCGCCGGTGCCAGCGCGCCGGGCTGGCGGCATCGTCCGGCAGCGCAGCAGCTCCGCAGGCGGCTGGCCGCAGCTCGCTGCCCCGCCCTCAAGGTGGGGCGCGGCGCACAACCCGTTCCCTGCGGCGGGCCAGCTGTCTGCGGCGCAAATTTCTGTCGCAACGGTGGCACAGCCAGCGCACGTCCGGCAGCAGCCGCAGCAACAGCAGGAGGCGCAGCCGGCTGGCAGCATAGCCGTCGCGGGCGAGACGGCTTCTGCCGTCGCCTCCCTTGCCGCCATCAACGCCGCCCGCAGCGGGGCCGTCATGGCCGCAGCAGAGGGCCAAGAAGGTCCAGCGCCGGCGAGCGGCCGCTTGGTGGGCGGCCGCAGGCGGCCGCTCGGGGACGCGGCGCCCCTGCCGTTGGTGCTGGAGGTCGCCGTCACGGCGCCCCTGGCGGCGCAGGCGCGGCTCGTCACCGGCGCCTGCTGGCGGCTGCTGGTGTCCCACTGGGACCTGCCGGCCGCCATCCGTTCCCTGGCGCACCTATACTTCCATGGAGCAGGCGACCTGGCCGACTTTCTAGCCGCAGGCGCCGAGGGGATGCTCTCCGCGGGCCGCGCGCCGCCGCCGGCGGTCGCGCAGGCGGCGCTCGAGGCGGCGGTGGCGGCGTCGAGCGCGGCGG